AAATCTTTATGAGTTGTTCATGATAGCTGTAGTGAAGTACCGCTAAATCAAGCTAGCCGATGTTGGAATTCTACCAAGACATTTATCTGGTATATTAAAAATATTTTTCACAGACTGCGAAAGTTGGAATTAACACCTGATGCATACATCATGTACATGGTATAGATACTTTTTTGAATTTAACATGTTTAACTATACACAAGATACATTATACATGTTATAAGGAGAAGTTTATTTTTTCAGGACATTCTCAAACTATCGTGTACAGTTTCTCAAGTTTATGATTTATTCATAGCAAGGGAGAGGCAAAAGTGTGATCATTAACTGCCAATCAAATAAACATAAGTATTCAAACATACAAGCCTTTGATTTCATACCAGAGCTTGTTATACACATGGTCTATTAAGATGGCTGTACTCACCTCCCATCTTACACTACCATAATCAATCTAGCAAGTGCACGCCCTACGCACATCTTGACTTAATATTTCATGGTCAATCAGACCTTTTCCACATATGAGAGGTAGGCCTGAGAATTCATGTTGTAAGTAAAGTTTTATCCTAAATTATATCCATGGATATAAACTTGTGGTTTTGCTGTGGTTGATAGTTTCAGAGGTTTAGGGTGTGTGTTGACTGTAGCAGTGTTAGAAGTCAGGGGAGGGAGTGGTCCTTGGGACCTTGAGGTGTTTTGCAAGTGGATTTGAATTGAGGGACCCCCGTATTGTTCAATTTTATTTTGCCCCCGACAAAATGTCGGGGGTATATAGTTATACCAAGGTTCCGTCCGTCCGTCCGAAAACTTTGTCCTCGCGATTTCTCTTAAGCTATTCAGGGGATTCATCTCAAACTTAGTACATATAATCTGTGTCATATGGAGGGGTGCAGTCAAAAGAAAAAAATTGTTTTTATTAATTTTCCATTTTTTTATGAAATTTTCAAACCCTAAAGTCCGTCCGAAAACTTTGTCTGCGCAATTTCTCTTTAACTATTCAGTGGATTCATCCCCAACTTCGTACATATAATCTGTGTCATAAGGAGGGGTGCAGTCAAAAGAAAAAATATTGTTTTTATGAATTTTCCATTTTTTTATGAATTTTTCAAACCCTAACCCTATCCTAGCTATTTAATTTGTAACTACTGACACACTAGGCGGTTCAGGGGTATTATTGAGCCACGCTCACTTTTGCACTTGTTTATTAGGGTTATCAAGGCTTTTGGCGCTGGCTGTAACTTGTACTGAGGTTCTTAGCAATGTTTCTGCAAATCCCATCACATATATGGCAGTTAATTGTCGTTAATGTGGAATTAACTCTTACAACCTTATCAATACCTGCCATGTGTCAAAGTTGTGTGTAACATGTTTAATGTCAAGGTCACAGCTTAGGCCATTCACTGTTTTGAAGTCCTGCAAATCAGCATGTGTTTTCCAACACGGACATTGTATGATTGATATTGTTTTCTGAACTTCATAGGTAGTCCCAGATGGAATTACACCAGTAAATAGATAGAATATTAGTGAGTCTGTCCAGCCGTGCTGGATGTCACCACTGGCTGCTGATGATAGTGGAAAGATATGTGATCAATGGTAAAGAAGTTTTTTTTGTATCATTTGTTATTAGTCATTTATTGGGTGTTGTTTTATGTCGTTTTTAAGCAATATTACCGCAACATCTTGGTTGGAACTGGGAGACCAGAAGTATTATTCACACATTGTGCCCATGTGGGGAATCAAACCCAGGCCTTCAATGTGATGAGCATATACTTAATTCCAAATATCTGAAGATTGTGAGATGGGAGGCATTATAATTTTTTACATTTTTCTTGTTTGTAAACAAACAGATAAAGGCATCCATGTACCAGCTCTGGTATAACTGAATAACTGGTGTGATTCACAATCACACAAAAGCATGAAGGTTTGGTAGGACTATGGTGTATTTCATCATTTGAAAAGAGAAACAGACATAGAGATTTTCTTTGTCTGTAGGTACTTGGGGACAATAAAATGATGTGATGAAAATCTACTATTATATTTATGAAGGCCTAGTCCAGAGGAAAAGCTTTATGTCATGTGGGAACAAGTGAAGTTGGTGTTGGAGGATAGCATCGAATGACTCACTACTGTTAAAAATAATGTATGTGAAACCTGTGTGAATGTTAATTCAATTTACCTGCTCGGAATGCTCTGTGTGCTCTATACAGTGTCATTGCTGTCATGCATACAGTGGACTGCCTTCATCATGTTCATGTCATGGGGGAAAACAGACTAGTGACATATGTAACAGCGTTCGATTTAAATGGGGTCCTAGAGTCTTTAAAGTTCGCTCCTACAGTGTTTGAATCTAGGGACCCTTTCTGTCTCTAATTCAACATAAGGGCTATGACAACATGGACAAAGACCTCTTGACTTTCATGCTTAATTTCGAACATTGTAGGATTGCTCTTTGCTATGCATGGTCACTTGTCCTTCCCCCACTTGTATTAACAAAGTGACAAAGTTACCATGTTCATGTTTTGTGGATACATTAGCTTGATCCTTGTGCTTCATATAGACTAATGATAGCCATAGCAATATGATATGATGAGTTATGTTCTGCAAGTTGTTGTTTTTGTTTGTTTGTTGTTTGATGCCACACTCAGCAATATTCCAGCTATATGACAGTGGTCTTTAAATAATTGAGTCTGGACCAGACAAGCAAGTGACTGAAATAATGATAATCAATCTACACATTTGGGATGTGCAATGACATGCTTACTGACTTACTATACCATGTTCACAGCACAAAGCTGTAGCTGATCCCAGTGGCCTGAGAGGGATTATGACTGTCATATATTATGTGACCAACCATGAAAAAAGGGACCTTATGGGTGAACAATTACATTGGGGTTTTTCATTATATTTTAAAACTACAGCATCTTCAGAACACAAAAATACAATTCATGCGCTTCAATTCATATTTATTACCGAGATACATGACATCACAAATATCAATCTTCACTGAAGTAAGTTGACGCCAAATGTCTTTATGATGTCATAGCACAATCTCCTGGTGGGTCTCATATGTTGAACTTTAATTTCTTTGTGGAACAGGACGCAGTGAATTATTGGCCATAAGACAGTTGTCAGCATCCAGTATTGTGAGAATGTTGTTTATCCAACCCCACACTGCCTGCACAAAAATGAAGGAACACAAGTCTGTCTTTAAAGTGACCCCATCTTCATCTGGATGCGTGGCATTGTGTTCTCACAGGACACAATATAAATCATGTTTAGTTGGTAAGCAGGATTCAGACATAATGGCAACCTTGATTGATGATGGTTGCAGATAAGGAAACACAACAAGGAAGTTCTTGTGCCAATAATGTTTTGCAACCTCAGTGTTATGCATGTAAAAATTATCAGACTAAATCATAGCAGTTATGGTTAGATATTTGCAGCTTGATCAGATGAACAATTCACAGGAACCTTTCATTGTCAAGTACTTGTTTCATACATATATATATATATCTTGTGAGGGACATGTATGTCCCTCTGGCATCCAGGGGGTTAAAACCATAGGATCAACTGAATATGACACTGCAACCCTAAATAGGCTTAGCCTGTAGGGCTTCTGTGACAGATAGACACCAAGCACTCATTCTAATTGTAAGCTGACAAGACTGAAGGTCTGGTGGTCACAATATTAACCAGTTGGCTGTGTGTCATCATATCCTAATGATGTGGATTGGTCCTTGTGATGTCAAGCATTTGTTTCCATGTGGCGACCTGTTTATTTACAGGTCACCATGACATTGATGGAATGTTGTCCATGGCATAAAACAGCAATCACTGAATTAGTAGAATACCTACTATGGTAATAATACTGACAAAGTTTAATAATAAGTTCCTCTATGTACCTTTTATGAAGAGTTCTACCAGATGATTTATCACTGTCAGCAGCTGTTAGGTTAGGTTCATTCATCGGTTGTTATGGTGTGATGTGTTGCCTAGTTTAAGCCGTTGCAGTTGTGCTTGTTGACAAGACAGGTATCACCACTGGCGGCTGCACAGTGACTCATCCACATCAAGTCTACTTGGGAACATCAATGCTGCATTTGATAGAATTTGCTGTCAATTATGATGTCAGTTTTATACGCAGCATACTCAATAATATCATGCAATCATAAGAATTATTGAAATGTTTGCATTAAGCGGAGAGTTTTCATTTGCCTGATTAAAAGACAACATTGCAATGTTTTGATACTAATAACTTCTTTTGTTACCTGCTACCTGTATATGGTGAGCACTGTCGTTATGATATGCCTGTTTACAGATGCCATTGCTATGCTCAAAGTTGTGAGTGAATCAGTCACATATGCGAGGGAAAATTGAGGAAGGCAATACAAAGTTTAGAAGCAGCACAGACACAATGATGTGTTTTTTCTTCTCCCAAAGCAAATACAATGACTCTAGTACACAACACTAAAATTAGCTTGTCAACAAATCCGTACTGAAGTATGCAAGTTAGTCCTCTTATTACACCACCAGGTTATAAAAAGAGTTTGTTTGTTCTATGTCTTGCTTCATGTTTAAAATCTAGTTTATTGATTCTATTCAAAATTTTATTCAATATTCCTAACATTAATTTCCTCAAAATTGTGTGTGGACTGATTGGCCCCCAAATATGTATGTATGTGTGATTTCAGCACTTTCACTTGGACATTTAAATTCTTTCTACCATTGTTATGATTTTTTTCCCCTCAGAAATTGCCTTAATATATATAGGACAACTGATGTTTGCCAAAAAATTGCAATATTTTTTTTTTACTTTATTTGCCCTTACCATGCTTACTCTCTACCCTCTCTGCAAGTAACAGTATCGCTGATTTTACAGAAGCAGAGGCAGTGCCAGGGGCCTTGACTCTCGTTTGTGTTTAAAAAAAGTCTTGTACAACAACTTTACAATTTACAATGTGACTGATATACTGATAATGTCTTATGAACAAATCTTTGTGTTTCAGCTCTAACCAAGGAAGATACAATACATGAAAGCGACCAGGAGGTATGTACCGGTAACTGTTGATGTCAATCACTCTCACGTAATTATCGTAATTTGCACACTTGCTTTCACTTGAAAACATCCGGTTGATGAGAGGGCTTGGTCACTGTACGACTTCCCAGGTCAGACTAAACTTTGTACATAGAAATAATTAGGGTCAGGAGGTTATACTATTATGTTTGTCCTTATTTTTCTACTCCGTCCACATCTTGGTGCAATGGTAGACCAGATATTAGCCTCAGTGCGTGGAACATTTTATTTTGAGCCAGTAGTGATAATTGATGGAAAGTGTCCAAGTCTTCAATATTTTTATCTTAAAAAGTGTCTGTATTTCTAGGAATGTGATGTATTTGAGATTCTGATATTACAACATTTATTATGTTAAAGATGATGCACATGTAACTCGACATTCGTTACAAATAATGTACGAGCCAGCAAAGTTGGCAAGTAATGTTTCTACGAATGTCCATTACGTATGGACTATGTGACTTAAAATACAGCATCAAAGTAACAAAATAGTGAGTAATCAGATTAATAATACAGCCTGAGAGTTCAAATAATGCATTAAATAATGAAAATAAATACAGCACAAATATTTCTGCTCAGAAATTTCATTCAGTACATACAAAATACATGAAAATCTTTAAATTTATGCTTCGATATCCGTGCTGCATTTGAACTAGCCTGTTTATTCATACCGCATGTACAGTTTGTGCGATTTGGTCATTGGGAATTTGTAATGCACATGCTTCAAATTTATGCATTGGCTTCAAATTTGCTTTGACCGCCTCCGTGGTCTTGTGGTAGAGCGTCCGCCCGGAGAGCGGAAGGTCCAGGGTTCGATCCCGGGCCGCGTCATACAAAAAGACGTTAAAAGATTGTACTTGTTGTTACCCTGTCTGGCGCTCGGCATTAAGGGGCTAAAACAAGGACTGGTCGGCTCGGAGTCAGTATACTGTGTCTGAGTGGGGTATTCATGTTAAACTGCGGCATGGTATCTCAGTGAGCTAGCACTATAAATCGGCATCAGTCCGGACTAGTACAAGCAGCCACACACACACATACACGTGCATGCACGTCGCTATATAAGTGCAATAATCTTGGACGCGACGTTAAACCCAATTTCACCTCACCTCAAATTTGCTTTACAGAAAGCATGTCATTTAACTGTCAATTTGTTACAATTTGTTACAGATAATCTACAGCTGAAACAATTAAGTTACTCATAGCTGTAGTTTAAGAGAAAATGAAAGCTTTCAACTTTCTCATACAGTTATTATCCTCTGCGATTGAAAGACTTATATATTTTACTGTTTCTTGACACTAAAAAATGACAAATTAGGTTTAGCACATAGTTGGTTATTTCCTCATTTCAAAGGTGAACGGTCAAAGGTCAAAGGTCAAAGGTCAGTTGATGCCCACGAGTGAGATCTCCAAAGGAAGACTTGAGAAGTCTGTTTAGTGAATTCACTTCCTGCATGCATGTACCTTAGACAGTCAGTACACACACATCCAGTATTACAGACACACACATCCAGTATTACAGACACACACAATGACAGTATTACAGATACTCACACATTGCCAATATTACAGACACACACACATTGCCAGTATTACAGATACCGTAACACACACATTGCCAGTATTACAGATACACACACATTGCCAGCATTACAGACACACACACATTACCAATATTACAGATACACACACATTGCCAGCATTACAGACACACACACATTGCCAGTATTACAGATATACATACACATTGCCAGCATTACAGACACACACATTGCCAGTGTTACAGATACACACACATTGACAGTATTACAGACACACACACACATTGACAGTATTACAGATACACACATTGCCAGTATTACAGATACACACACATTGCCAGTATTACAGACACAGATGACATCAGTATTAAGGACACACAAATCCAGTATTACAGACACACACACAATGACAGTATTACAGATACTCACACATTGCCAATATTACAGACACACACATTGCCAGTATTACAGATACACACACATTTCCAGTATTACAGACACACACACATTGCCAGTATAACAGATACACACACATCCAGTATACAGCTACACACACATTGCCAGTATTACAGACACACACACATTCAGTATACAGCTACACACACGTTGCCAGTATTACAGACACACACACATTGCCAGTATTACAGATACACACACATTGCCAGTATTGCAGATACACACACATCCAGTATACAGCTAGACACACATTGCCAGTATTACAGACACACACACATTGCCAGTATTACAGATACACACACACATTGCCAGTATTACAGCTACACACACATCCAGTATACAGCTACACACACATTGCCAGTATTACAGACACACACACATTGCCAGTATTACAGATACACACACATCCAGTATACAGCTACACATACATTGACAGTATTACAGCTACACACACATTGCCAGTATTACAGATACACACACATTGCCAGTATTACAGATACACATACATTGCCAGTATTACAAATACACATACATTGCCAGTATTACAGACACACACACATTGCCAGTATACAGCTACACACACATCCAGTATACAGCTACACACACATTGACAGTATTACAGCTACACACACATTGCCAGTATGACAGATACACACACATTGCCAGTATTACAGATACACACACATTGCCAGCATTACAGATACACACACATTGCCAGTATTACAGATGCACACACATTGCCAGTATTACAGATGCACACACATTGCCAGCATTACAGATACACACACATTGCCAGTATTACAGATACACACACATTGCCAGCATTACAGATACACACACATTGCCAGCATTACAGATGCACACACATTGCCAGTATTACAGATGCACACACATTGCCAGCATAACAGATACACACACATTGCCAGTATTACAGATGCACACACATTGCCAGTATTACAGACACACACACATTGCCAGTATTACAGATACACACACATTGCCAGCATTACAGATACACACACATTGCCAGTATTACAGACACAAACACATTATCAGTATTACAGATGCACACACATTGCCAGTATTACAACTTCTTACACATTGCCAGTGTTACAGATACACACACATTGCCAGTATTACAGATACACACACATTGCCAGTATTACAGACACAAACACATTATCAGTATTACAGATGCACACACATTGCCAGTATTACAACTTCTTACACATTGCCAGTGTTACAGATACACACACATTGCCAGTATTACAGATACACACACATTGCCAGTATTACAGATGCACACACATTGCCAGTATTACAGATGCACACACATTGCCAGTATTACAACTTCTTACACATTGCCAGTGTTACAGATACACACACATTGCCAGTATTACAGATACACACACATTGCCAGTATTACAGATGCACACACATTGCCAGTATTACAACTTCATACAGATTGCCAGTATTACAGGCACACACATTGCCGGTGTTACAGATACACACACATCCAGTATACAGCTACACACATTGTCAGTGTTACAGACACACACACATTGCCAGTATTACAGACACACACACATTGCCAGTATTACAGATACACACACATTGCCAGTATTACAGATGCACACACATTGCCAGTATTACAGATACACACACATTGCCAGTATTACAGATAACACACATTGCCAGTATTACAGACACACACATTGCCAGTATTACAGATACACACACATTGCCAGTATTACAGATAACACACACATTGCCAGTATTACAGACACACACATTGCCAGTATTACAGATACACACCCATTGCCAGTATTACAGATAACACACACATTGCCAGTATTACAACTTAATACACATCCAGTGACACCATTATGACATGCACCCTTGTATATTTACCATTCATGGACATCAATTCCAAGATTTCCTCAGTAGAACTAAACAAGTGTTCACAAGTCCTTCATGCAACTTTGCACATATATTTAGCATGTTTATCAGCTGGTGAGCTGGTGCCTCTTGATAATTAGTGATATTTGATTAATCCTTTCTTGTTTTCTCTGGATGGAAGCAAATTGGACCATGAAGACACAGTGGATGTGGTTCAGTTCCATAGCTAAACCAAAGACTTGTTCATGATTCATCTCAAAACGTTACATACATATCAACCAGATGGTGGAATCATGCCTTTTACTCCTTAGTGTTATTTCATGTTATGTTGTTTTTTTATATTTCCATAAAATTATAGTGTGATTGGATTTGTTACAAGAGCAAGACTAAAAAAACCTCCGAAACGGGTGGCAAAGTTCTAAGCCAAACTATGATTGACTTCGTTGTTTGAGTTGGCTGTAAATTATTTTTCAATGTCCCCTCTGCAGTCCTTTAACTTGAATTACTTCTGCCAAAGAAGCTTGATTGGTTGGATCCCATGTGGCGTAGAAGGCTTCTTTAAGGGGAAACAAATACTTTCAAATACTTCTTTGCCATAGTTCTGCTTTTGAGTTTTGGTATTATGGATTTCATTTCATGTTGCCCTGAGTAGAAAAGGAGGAAACCCGTGCAATGTCATGTACTGCACGTACTGATGATGCTTGTTGTGAATAGAAACATGACCCTTGTCATGTAATGATATTTATGCAAGGAAGAATAAAATAAAAACAAAAACAATTGTTTCCTGTTTGGGCTGATGTTTTAGTCATGACAGTACATTTATACCAGTACTTATGTCACTTTGACATTTGTGAGGCTAAAGTTTATCAATATTTGCTGTTCAGCCATTGTGACTGTTGATTTTCAGTTAAAATACTGTCTTCATTCTGGCAAACTCTTCTAATTTAATCTATTTAATTGTCCCTCTTCATAGCCTTGGGAATGCCAAATTCAGCAATGATGATCAACAGTTGATGGCAACAATTCTTCACTCAGTTTGGCAGTCATTCTTTGATGAAAGACCATTCATTAATAAATTAATGGCAATCAAAAAACTGTATTTTTTTTCATAATGACTTTGAGCATTCACATTTTGCAAACATCACAGTTTCCCATAAAAACATAGTTTGGAAGCATCTCGATGATTATACTTAATGTTTTGTTATTGTACAATTGCCAGTCAGACCCTGGCTCTCTGAGTAATGGCTACTCCTCCCGTGACGAATCTCTCTCCCCTGCTGATCTCCCCATCCTGAACGGCAGCGGCCATACAGCCACCAACGGCAGCGGCAACTGGCGAGACGTCGGCCGGGGACACTCAAAGTCAGCTGTGGTTCCCCGCATGTCAAGTAAGTTATATTGGAAAATACCTACCTGTGTATATTTAATTGATCCTGCATACTGCATTAGCTGATATTTACTCACCTGTTGGGTTTCTGGGTGAGAACAGGTCTCTAATAACCTATTGTCTGGTCCAGATGTTTGATAATTTGCAGGCTCCCGTGACAAGGCTGTTATATTGCTGAGTGCAGTATTAAACAAACAAAATCTGATAATTACTTAGAATGATTGCTTCAAGGACAATTTTGTTTTTTTAGCAGATTTGGAAATGCTTGAAAATCTGTGTTTATGCAATATGTTTTGATGACCTTCCAGATATGTAAGAGAGAACCCTCAGAGCCATTTGGACTGGGAAGAAAAAAATTACATTAATATGTAAACATGATTGCAAGGGAAATTCTAAAGAAGAGCTCTGGGTATTCTCCTGGAAAGCCATTTGTGTCCCAACAACAAACCTATTATTGCAAGTTTATCCTGGAATATGAAGAACCCAGACAGATAAAATGATGGAGACACTGGTGTTAGCAAAATAAATTTTTATTAGAGATTGTTATTTGAGAAAGGTTCTCAACTTATACTTTTTGACTCACAGCTTCTGTCTCAGGCAAACGTCACACCCCTGTTAAGCGACACCACTCAGCAGGCGACATGTTGGTGACCAATTTCCCCACTAGTGAAAGCGACCGACTCCAGAGGCCCAAGTCTGAAGGCCACGCCTACTGTCGCCAGTTCCTCTCCAAGCGGACCTCCAGTTATGGGGTGAGTTCAGTGTATCACAGTATCACAGTGTATCCTGGACACACTGTCATCTGTACATGTCTTGTTGACATAGTGTCAGTGGGAGCAACATTCAGCATGTCATGTAGTACTGGAGTATTCTTCCAATCGATTTTTTAAAAAGAAATCTTTGGAAAAATCCTATAGTGGAGCATGGAGCATTTTTTTAGCTATCACCAAACATATTATCAGTTTGAGATTAGAACAATTGCATAGATGTACGGAAATGTTTTCTCATTTGATCAATATTAGACCTTCCTGATAATCTGCCGTCTTCAACCTATTTTCAGAAACAGCTTTGATAAGGAAGTCCTGCACATTCATATAGTTGAAAAACATCACAGTACAGTTTGTTAACATACAGGCAACCTTGTATTGATAATACATCATTTTGTACTTGTTATACAATTGAAGAATTGAACCAGTTTAGGTGCATGTATTGCAGAAATTGTGTCCTTTGCTATGGAATCCCTTTGAGAATAATGCTGAGGACAGTAAATATCATCAAACAATATATGTGATTTGTACGGCCACCGACAGTGACATACTAATGTTTCAGGGACAGTCTCCGTTTGGCCGAGCAGACTCCTACCATAAACTGGAGCAGCTCGGTGAGGGCTCGTATGCCACCGTTTACAAAGGTATTAGCAGGTAGGTGGTTCTAAGTTCTCTACTTGGTGTGTATGCTCTCTGATCTGTACTCACATTGTGGACTGAAAAACTGAGTATCAAATATATATCATGTGCAGTTTTTGCTCTGGTATGGTAACTGATGTCCTCTTATTTCTTTGCACAAATATTTGAAATCACATTTTCAATTTCAAGCATTGTCGACCACCTCAATGGTCTAGTGGATAGAGTGTCTACCCAGTGAGTGGAAGGTCTGTTGTTCGATCCCCAGCCTTGTCTGGCCAAGGCTCCATTATTTCCCGTCTGCTGTGATATTGCTTGAACACTACTGCTGTGTAAAACATCATCATTTTGCTCATTCACACACCTCAAATCGTGCATTTCTCTACCCTTGGAGTGGGCTGAAGGGTAGCCTAGCGGTTATAGATTTGGTTTGTCACATCGATTCCCAATATGAGCCCATTTTTGGTGTCCCAAATTCTAGATTTGACTGGAATATTGCTAATAGCTCCAAAATAATCTTGCTCACTATCATTGTCATGCCTCAGCTCATATGAATTCCCACCTCCTGCAATGTGCAGAGTAAGTAATGCTAACTTGTATAACTGACTGCAGTCTGGTCATGCAGCTTGTGTGTGTCGTGTATTGCAGCCTCAACAATCAGGTGGTGGCACTGAAAGAGATACGTCTTCAGGAAGAAGAGGGTGCACCTTTCACTGCAATAAGAGAAGGTGAGATTAATTAATTTTAATTATCCACGCTGAGTATTATAGATCGAAACTTCCCTGTTAGGATTTCAGGGATGAATAGGTCCCTAGTATCACATGCTTGTCACAGGAGCTGACTAAAGAGGATTTGGTGATCAGGCTCTGTGACTTCTTGGCGTGTCATCATGCACTGATGGCATGATCATCGACCATAATATCAGTTTTGTCAAGTCCAGATTTGATTATTTTTAGGCTGTTTCTACTAACTATAAAGAAGTTATACATAAAACTTCAATGTTTTCATACTAACTGCTTTTTGTCCGATTAATACGATTCCAGAAAAATTGCTGAGTTTGTGTAAAAGTGAGTTCGTAAAACTCAGTTGTTAAAGTAGCATTCAAACAGTAACAGATGGTTACATCACAAATTGTCCATGGCCTGATTACTTTTCCAAAGATATACTTTATTGAAGAGTATGTAGGTATCCATTCAGGAAATACTAATATATTAATTCCAGATAATAAGAGGTGTCTTGCTTTCCTCTACATCAACTTCTCAACGATTATTTGTTGAATTTTGTCATATGTGTTTGGCTTTGTTATGTTTAATAATGCAAGGAAATCTACTTTTGTAATTATTGGAATGCTGTTGCAAAATTCTGCTCTCAATACAATGCAATAGTCACCGATACATATAAGTTCAGGACTTATTGATCATGTGGTTGTTTCAGCGTCTTTGCTGAAGGGTTTACGCCACACCAACATCGTTACTCTCCATGACATCATTCACACCAAGGAAACACTCACTTTTGTATTTGAATATGTGGTGAGTTGGCTTTTCTTTTGATCATTATGGGGGGCACAGGTGGCCGTCACATAAGGTGCTGCAGTTTGATGTGCAGAATTGTGTCCCTCAGGCATGCCAGTGATTGTGGGTTGGATTCCCGAGGTTTGCCCTGATAATGTTTCTAGGTTTGTCGGCACCATACCCATGCTTGAGGATTTCACCAAAGTGTAAGACACAAACATCTACAACCTTCTGTGATATATAACTGTGATACTGAAGCATTACACCAAACCATTCTTCACTGGACTACTTTTACCTGAAGAAAATAATAGCTGTCAAGTATTCTTAAAAGTGAATATCCAGTTCAGTTGGAAGATGCCACACTCTTTCTTTCTCAGCGGAAAATATGTGGCTTAGCTGTTTGTGTGTCATAGTTTACCAAAAGAGGGTATGGTTCTTCATGTTATCATCCACTGGTTTGGCTGGTTGCTGCCTGACTTGTTCCTGCCATATTTGTTTCTTATGAAACAAAACAAGTGAATAATCATTTAATGTTGAAATAAATTGAACAGTTTCAGTGGATTTGTTGAAATCTATGTTTGTAAACCCTTTACAAGTTGGAGGATACTATCCACAGATACTACTTGGATTGTCCAAAACGTTTAATTGAAGTACAACTTTTTCTTTCAGCATACAGATCTAAGTCAATATTTAGAAAAGCACCAGGGTGGCTTAAACCCATTCAATGTGAAGGTGAGTGCTCTGTTGATGTGTTGAAGAGGTTTAAGCTGACATTCAGTAAAACTGCCCATCATACCACAATACAGGAGGAATACCTGTAAATATATCAGAATTTGATATTTTTGAATGACATCAATAATACGTCAGAAGTTTGTTTTCTCTCAAAATCTAGTTTATTGTACTTCCAGTCAATCACTTCATAAGCATGATAAGTCAGAACAAATGTTATTGTTTCTCATTCCACTGCATCAGTTTCCACCCGGTGATCTCTGCCTGTATTTAATACATTTGTACAGATCAAGGGAAGGTTAATCTATGCATTTTCAGCTACATGGACACATGAACTTCTCTCACAACAAGTGAACCATTAGACATGTTAGAGATTTTATTCTGTGCACCGTATTGGTGTGAAAACATCCAAAACGTATTATTCATACCTGTAGCAACAGTATTAAATTCTGTCACTCTTGGGCATGGGACTGACTTTATGATTTGTAGTTTTCTCACTAACATCAACGCTTGACTAGTTAAAAAGTTATATATGATGTGAGTAACATTGCAGATTCTCTCTTCCCTCCACCATGTCAACATCTATGTTGTATATTTCAGCTGTTTTTGTTCCAACTGCTGCGTGGTTTGTCCTACTGCCATGAAAGGAGGATTCTACACAGGTGAGACTCACTGTACACTGGTAGAGGGGAGAGGGGATGTTGTCACTGGTTATCTTCCATCTCTTTCTGTTTTCTCCCTACCCGTGAAGATCCGGGCTAGAATAGGTCTTCAGCAACCCATGCTTGCCATAAGAGGCGACTTATGATTGGGTGGTCAGTTTCACTGACTTGGTTGATGCATGTCATCATATCCCATTTGTGAGGATTGATGCTCATAACATCAATCACTAGATTGTCCTGTCCAGACTCGATTATTTACAGACCGCCGTCATATACCTGGAATATTGCTGAGTGTGGCAATAAACAAACAAACAAATGTTTTCATCCAGCTTTTTCCATTCAACTGAATTTAGAAACTCAAGTTTCAGCATTGAACACATGTCATTATCCCAGTCGGGATAGGTGCAGTCTACGACTTAGCCTCCAGTCCTAAATCCAAGTCTAGTTATATTCTGTTTGTTCCAGTTAGCTCAGCTGATAAAAGTACATATGATAACAGTAAAATGTACAATCAGATAAGATAAGAGCCAATTTTGGGCTGGTTGACTGAAAAGTTTTGGCTCACAAAAAAAGTTTTTTTAAGTGTGCGTGTAAGAATCTAGGTGCCATGTATCATGATGTATATGCCATAGAAACTGTTGTCTCTGGCCCAGCACTGTTTCTTGCACTTAACAAGGTATACATGTGTCAAAACCACCTACTTACAGTATTGAAATACATATACTCACACTTGACTACAGTCAGTTTGGTATTTAACCTAGTTTTACCAAAATATAAATTTTCTTAAAAAGCAATTCTTCAAATGACAGGTGATCAGTTCAGTGATTAAATAGACATAGACATGATAGAACCACATGTGTGCTGTGGGAATATTACAATATGCTGTGTCAGCGATATTGCACAAAAGTGTGTTTCTCTGCAGTGATACTGGTATATTATTGAATCTGTCTCACATATTTCCATGTATTTGCAGGGATCTTAAGCCCCAGAATCTTCTTATCAGTGAGATGGGAGATCTCAAACTAGCTGACTTTGGTAAGCATATGTCCATCTCATTCATATACAGGACCTTTATGAATGGAGTAAGTGTGAAATGCAAGTGTGTCTCTGTATGCAGTAAGATTCCTGCATTCTATTAACATGTCTGTCTACTTGTAGGCCTAGCACGAGCAAAGTCCATTCCTAGTCGAACCTATTCCCACGAAGTGGTGACCTTGTGGTACCGCCCTCCAGATGTGCTGTTGGGCTCAACCGATTACTCCACATCACTAGATATGTGGTAAGTAAATTGTTACCATGGTAACCACTAGATATCTTTGTATGTTTAACAAATGTGTTAATCAATACAAATGCTTTGGATGTCTCAGTGACAGCCCAGCACACACCTGAGCTGGAAGTTAGTTTAGAAGAAGGGTAGGGTTACAAAAAGCATGGCACACAGTTTTTCAGTGTTTTTCCATAACAGATATGATATGTAGGCAATCTACATAAATCAACAATGTCAGTGGTCTGAAAAGTTAAGTCTGATTTGAAAACACAATAATTGGGGATATTTCATGCCAAATCTGTGTTGGAATAGAGCTGCTAGCCTCTGTTAGAATTTGCTTACCTTTGTTAGATTATGTTGAACTTTGTTGCAATCTGTTGTAACTGCCAAGATCTGCCTAGCTGATAGAATATGCTGACCTTTACTTGAATCTGCTGCACTGTTCGGATATAACTCTTTTAAGATCAGCTGCACGCTCTTAGAATCTGCTTACTCTGATAGAGTCTCTTGAGGCTTTTGTTTGTAAGTATCACAATGGAATTCACTCAGATTGTATTCCACAGGGGCGTTGGATGCATCTATACAGAGATGATATCTGGCCTCGCAACCTTTCCCGGTATGAAGGATGCCTTCGATCAGCTGGATAAAATATTCAGGGTATGTACACTTCATATGAAGCAAAACCCATGAAGATCAGGGTTAGAACTAATCTTCAGCAGCCCATGCTTGTTGTAAGAGGTGACTAACATGATTGGTTGACGCATGTCATCGTATCCCAATTCTGTACATTGATGCTCATGATGTCCGTCACTGGATTGTCAGGTCCAGACTCAATTATTTACAGACTGACGTCGTAATGCTTGAATATTGCTGAGGGCTGCATCAGACAACAAACAAACAAGTCATATGTAGCAAAGTGATTGTGCATGTTGAGTATGTTCCTCCTGGATACAGGATATATAAATACAGTAAAAATACGCTTATAACAAACTGACAGATTTTAAAACATAAATTTTGGTCCAAGTCATTTGCTGTATGATGTTGTATATATCCTTATAACGAACCACGGTTATAAGGAACTAAAATTACTGGTCCATTTGAGTTCGTTGTAACCGTAGTTTACTGTAGTGTAATATTGAATATTATGCTGGGAGGCCCTTTGTCTTGTTTATACTGTGTCACAGCTCTATCACAAAAGAAAAGAAATATCATGTTAACCAAAATTGTCATACCTCTTGACAGGTGACAGAGCTCTTTGACTCCAGGTCAACGCAGGCTTGTAAGATGTGATTTTATAGATCTAGTGGTCAGACACAGTGGCATGGATGATTGGTTGTTATCGTAACCGTACTGCAAACACAACACTCTCTCAGGTGGGAACTACTTCCACTTGGTGTCAGTATTTCTATTTTTGTTACTTGGTCCACCTGAAGAACGGAAGGTGATAGGTTTGATCCCCGGCCACGTCACACCAAAAGACGTGAAAAGATAGTACTTGTTACTTGCCTGGTGCTTGGCTTTAAGGGCTGAAACAAGGACTGGTCGACTCGGAGTCAGAGTGCTGTGTCTGATGGGGTGTTCATATTAAACTGCAGCATGGTATCTCAGTGGGCTAGCACTATAACATAGGTCCGGACTAGTACAAGCAGCCACACACACACACATGCATGCACATCGCTATATAAGTGTAATAATCTAGGACACAATGTTGAACCCCATTTCACCTCACCTATTTTTTGTTTGCAGAATGAAAGGTATGTAGAAACACTTGATCTGCTTATTGTGCCCAACATGTACCAACACCTTCTTTCTTCTCCTACCCCAGGTGCTGGGGACACCAACTGAGTGTACATGGGAGGGAGTGTCCAAGTTCCCTCACTATGATACAAGTGAGTGGTAATCTTCCCTGGAATTATTGCCTCTCTTGGATGCTTTCTATTAAGCCAGTGTTAAGTTTGATTGACAATAATTCATGTCAATGAACATTGATGTTAATGAATAAATGGTGTTATGTCAGATGGTATGATGATGTTTCGTGCAATACTAATGATTTGTTTTTACCTTGTAGAAAAGTTTGGTGTATTTGTGCGTCAGCCACTGTCATGTTGTATACCCAAGCTGTCCTTTGTGCAACATGCTGAAGATTTAGCTGATAAGTTAATACAGGTATGTTTCAGTCTTGACATAAATATGTGTCACTTTGTCTCTCATGGATTGGTCCTAAACATGAATAGAGAAGAATCAACATGATGAGAGACAACAGTGCTGTGATGCTCGGAATAATGATAAACGAAACAGTCTGTCACAATTGTTGTTACTACCTGCCTTATTCTAAATGTAAACCTCAGGTGAACAAAGTCATGGTCATGATTTTATTACGCAGATGGAACCATGTCGGCGTCTGTCCGCGAAGATAGCGATGAAACATGAGTACTTCCGGGACCTGCCACCAAAGATACATGACCTCCCAGATGGTACGTGCCCAGCTTGGCCACAATATAGATTCTCTTACAACTGAAATACCTTTTCCTGCAGTCACATGGTCTTGTTGTCCGCTGTAAGGTACAGTCAGGTTATGCTAAAAGAGTGAAAACATTTTGTTACTGTTTCATTTATGCAGTAATTCTGACTGTTCACTGTTACGGTTAGGGTATCCTTAAGACTGAAAATCATTGTATTCGACTATATTCTCTGTTTTGTTTAGACATATGTCAAGTGAACTTATGTTGTCGCTTGGTGTCCATCTGTCGTTTATTTTTGCATTTCCAACTTCTCCTCTGAAACAACAAGGCCTATGAAGCTGAAATGGATGATCCTAAAGTACTCATGGAAATGAAAAAAACCTGTTTTGCTGGATTTAATAATCGACACAAAGCATTACGTAGATGTAAATACGAAATAACAAAACAACTGGAAAAGTACTAGTCTGGATTTGCTAGTTTTATCTCAGTGCTCAATACAAAATGTACTTTACAGGAGGTAATTTGTAGGCACTTTCAACATTCAAAACTAAAACTAAATCCAAATTGACATGGCAGAAACAGGCTATAGGCATTATGCAAATTAGCCTTGGAAAAAAAAGTTATCAAAACAATAAAAATAACAGCTATGTTTATGTACATAATAATAATGACATGTAAGTTGTTGTTTGAGAAGGGAATATGTTACTTTTACGTTCTGATATTTTGACGATGATTCACTATCCCACAATGCCACTCACAAATCACTAACCACTGACAAATCACATGCACGTGGGTTTCAAGCACCTGTTTTCACCTGTCGTCAAGGTGTCATAGGTCATGGACATTCACCTTGATCTACTAACACCTGGTTATGCTCAGTTTCACAATTGTCTATTTTGTTCATATTTTTACACACTTTTACATGTAAAAAGGCATAAAAACCTTTGATACGCTGTATTTCTGCCAAGGCCCAATAAGTACTAATTGAGTTGTTTGAATATTTATATATTTTGTATATTAACTGCATTTATTTAAAATCTGAGATCGAAAAAACACTTTTTTTCCATTTCCGTGAGTACTTTAGCTATGGCATCAGGACATGTTAATGACATATCCAAGGTTTTCAGAAAGAAAAATACTTGTTCATTCTAAGCTTAGTTATTTTTTGCCAAATACAGCCATTATATTTGATGGCCTGCGTGTATTTTGGGCCTGCCCTCTATTTGTCGATTGACGGTACAGGTATTACACCTGCCAGGGGCACTAGTGGCCCTAGTTGTCTGTGGCACGACAGTTCAGTGTGCAGTGTTGTATCCCTTAGATGTGCCAGGAACCTATTGTTCTTACAAATCCTCTACCTCTATTACATCATTGCCATAATCCTGTATTTTGACTGCAATCACACTATAACTAAATCTTCAGATTTCCAACAGAAGTCCTCTTCACTGTCAACTATTCATTACTAGTTACCACTGAAATAGCACCAAACAGCACACAGCTCTTCTGTGTGCAAAGGCAGGAAAATCCTCATTTCTTTCGTGTGTGTGTTAGAGTGAACATTAACTTTCACAGTCTCGTTTCTCTAGCACTTAGTAGTAAAGTCATACTATAGACTGACTAATTTTCAGTTTATCTAGCTAAGTAGATCCATCTTCAGGAGACCCTCATGCTTCCTGTGAGCATCTCCAAGTCGGCTTTCAACAAACTGTCAGACTCCATAAAGAAGGCTAGGCGTAAGGAAGCAGTGAAAAAGACTGGGAATGCCATTGCGTCTCTCTCCATCATTACTGAGTCTTTTCCTAAACCTACAACCCATGGACAACTGCCCTACCTGAACCGGCCCTCACCTTCTTCATAAGTCTGCTAGAGTAGTTATTCTCCAAGCAGAAATCAGCAGCAGCCATCTTCATTCACCACCAAAGCCTCACAGCTGCCAGACCTAGCACAACACCAGCCAGTCGTCAGGACAGCAGCTCCCATGCTTTACCCAGTCAAGATTCCCAACCATCACAGTCACTGCAAGGTAGCACGGCATGCTGAAGAACGGCTAACCAAATGAAGCCCAGATTATCTGCATAACATCACAGGACCACGGTCCCCACTCGGACCATATGGGCGGCAAGTCATCTACCATTAAAAGGTCCTCCCGTCCACCACATGGTACCAGAACAGACTCTACATGTGGACTCCATGGATGTTACAGACACCACATGTCAAAGTACCTCTCTCCCGGGTATTACCCACAACTCGATGGATTCCAAGGCAGACTTTGGGGAGGAATCAGATTATTCTGATATGATCCTGGCCACTCCTTTTCTGAATTATAAGCAAATAAGCACTCCCTGGACATTAAAGCTTATTTAAATTGGTTTGTTGTAGGTATTCATCATGTCATCCTAATGCATTCGAATCCTACGAGGGAATCACAGGGGTCATGCCACAATCTATCAGAACGGAGCAAGTCAAACGAATCCAAAGTCTACTGGATGCCATAGTCCGCAAACAGGAGGATTTACTATCCACCTAAGTCAGATGGTCATTCCAGTTGTTATGGATCAAGACACAAACTACACTTCATGACCCTGACGACAGCAAGGGGTTTTACTCTCCAGTTTTCTTAGTCTCGAAGAAGAACTGCCTGGACGATACTTTCAATCTTCAGAATGGGAGATTTGCTCATCAGCCTTGATCTACAAGAAGCCTAATATATCGATGAATGGGTACCGGTTCATGGATATATTGTAGATCAAGGCTGATGAGCAAATCTCCCATTCTGAAGATTGAAAGTATCGTCGTAAAAAAATACCTAGGCTTGCAGTCAATGGGAGACGTTAGGAATTCCAAGTTCTTTTGTTTGGGATCTCAATAGCACCTTGGCTATTCACCAAGAACATCAGTTTTGCCAACTGCAGCTAGTTCTTCTTCATGGTTATCTGCACGACTTCCTCCTGGCAGATCAACACAGATCTCAGCTCCACCAGAACATGATCTTTTTGATCCAGCTAATGACTTACCTGGGGTACCTTTTCCATCCAGCCAAGTCAGAGATTATCCCAGCACAGGACATTTAGTACATTGGGACTCAATTTCAACTATCATTGTTAATGTGATAATAATACTACCTCAGTTACACTAGAAGTACTCCTCCAACCTTCCCATTCATCTGCAACTATAGTCTGGAAGGTAATTTAAGGTACCGACGTTTACTACAATATCTGAAAAACTATTGGACCTACTCCAGTCAAAGTTGGTATGAGATTATTAAACAGTCATACATAACTGGATATTACATTTAAAGACAATCAGTGCATGAATAAAAAATCTGTCTATTTAGCTATCACTATATTTCATCAACAACCAGACCTGTTTGTCACGGTTGGAACGAGCATTCATTGAAACAGCCATCTGCATAATGCTACCACTGCGTCACAAAGCCATATGACACAGTTGAACCAATCAACTCAACTCGAAAGGGTGCACGGGAATCACATACGTTGAGACGCCCGACGCTAACACCGTATTCGTTATGTATGACTGTTTAATAATCTCATACCAACTTTGACTGGAGTAGGTCCGATAGTTTTTCAGATATTGTAGTAAACGTCAATTCCTTAAATTACCTTCCAGACTATAGTTGGTAGATGTTTGGAAAGAAGTGAAGATTTCCCCGCCTTTGCACACAGAAGAGCTGTGAGCTGCTTGGTGTTGTTGCGGTGACTACTAGTTAAGTAAAGTTGATAATGAAGAGGCCTTCTGTTGAAAATCTGAAGATTTAGTTAGAGTGTGATTGCAGCCAAAATATAGGATTATGACATATGATGTAATAGAGGTAGTATTCTTAGAATTATTAACAATGATAACTATTGTTCTGATGATTTTGGTTTGTATCCCATATTTGCCATGATAATGTTTCTAGGTTTGTTTGCACCATGCCTATGCTTGTGGATTTCACCAAAGTGGTAAATGTCTAAGACCTGCATCACTTGGGACTTTCCCATCTGGCGTACACGCTGTGATATAACTGAAGTACTGCACAACTCACTCACTCTTTCCTTCACCAGCTGCCTCTGTGTTCAACATTCCTGGGCTGAAAATGCTGCCAGAGATGGATGAAGTGGTCTCCAAGAAACCCACTGGACGCAGCGGGATACGGACAACGCTCAAGGTGGGATGCCATCACAGGCCTTCATTTTACAAATGTTTGATACACTGAACCATTTGCACATTTTTAGTACAAGTGTGTTTATGTTGCGGCACATTGTGAGCCTGTGTCAGTGCATCAGGGATAGACATGGCCTCTAATCTGTTAGTCCGAGACAAGTGAAATGTTGGAGGGACAAGTTGTTTTCTCCCCAAATATGGCTATGTTACATAGGCTACTAGTCTGAAATGACCACTGTTCATCTGTCTGTCATAAACTGAAATCTGAAAGCATTAGATTGAAAATTTGCATAGATGATTCCAGAAATGGTGTCTCTAAGATTTACACACTGAAACACATTTTGTTCCACCATGGAAACTATTCTTAAAAAGCCTCATTTTTGGCACATTACTGTGGCATTGCTACATAAATCAGTATGAAACTTTCATGTAAAAGGCTTTTGACTATGTATGCTCAAAAGGAGATTTTACAGGTTTACATGATTGTACATCAATATTGTGCAAATATTTTGTGATTTTATTTTATAGAAAAATAGATCTTACTGTCTGTGAGCAGAGGATCATGGACAATATGGAGCACATACAAATCATGTACAGCTTTCTCAATGCTTTGTTGTCGTCTCCATGTCTTAAACTCAGTGGGTATTCCAGGGCAGAATCTTTTTTTTAGAAAGCACTTCTGTCACAAACCTGACTGGTAGAAAATTTCACGGCATCCATTTAGTCAAGCTTAGGTTAAGTTATGAAGGATCTATTCTTGTCTGGATTCCCAATAGGGCTAATAAATTATGACCCACATTTTGTATTTATGCACAATTTTACATTGCAGGCAAAGCAAGTAGATGTACACCCGAAGCAATCAGCATGAGACTAGAGAAGATTAACAGTAGCCTGTATAACCCTATGAGAGGACTTCCGAGTGTATTATAAACTGTGTGTTAACAGGGTGTTAACGAGTGTGCTAACCAGTGAGAGTGTGGAGAGAGAGAGAGTGTTCAGTTTTCACTGTGTGTTCATGTTGTTCCTGTTTGTAACAAGACAAAAACTTCTTGTACATAGATTTGTAGACTCGGGAGAAGACATCTGCTAAAACTTCTTTTGTAAACTGGAGATGATCGAACCAGTAAGAATTCCTTTCTTGACATGAAATACTTGAATTTAACTTGATTTTGATACTGAAAAAATACTGTTTGTAATCATATGATGATTACAATTTAGTATTGACATTGAGCTTGAGTAGTTTTGACCTTGTACTTAATGATGTCATAGTTGGAAAGATTACACTTTTGACTTTCATTGAACTAAATGACATTATTGAAAACAATAAATAAGTAACATGACACTTTGTCTAAATGTTCAGTAAAATCGGTCTAAATTTCAAGGTGGTTTCAATGTGTGTGTAAAATCACGGTGGGTATTCAAGAGGTTTGAGGATTTGTCTTCTCCCTTTGTAAATACAAGACTGCAGAACAATCCAGCCAAAAAACTGTTGCTACATTCCCACCCTCGTCAGTGTCTAGATGGTAGGCAGCTGTCTGTCTGTATGTACATGCATCTGTTTGTCTGGCCATGCGTCTGGTTTGTAGCTGCAAGAAATGGGAGGGGGCGCTCTCTGTTGTCAGCCATTTGTGTTGAGACACTGACATATTGGTGGGAAGACCCATCATTCATGTTATCATGGATACGGACACTTTTGATGACAACGCAGAAAAAATTAGTTCTGATACAAACTCAAAACTCAAGCAGGTTTTATCAGAGAATCTGGATTTTCATTCTCTCCTACTAGGGAAAGATTCCTGTGGAAATCAGATGTGCTAAATACTCTCTTTGGGAAAGTGTTGAAACTTGTCTCTCCAAACAAATAATATGCTTTAATGTAAGATCTTAGTTTGTTTTCACATTTGTCATTAAATCTGTTTGTATTCTACCATACTCTGTCCACATATTTATCAGAAGCAACGACCCACCTTCCATCACCAAGGTATTCTTACTTGCTGATTGGTCACAACATGTATCAAGCAGTTCTGTTGGCTTGATGTGTTCTTAATTTGTTCATAACCAGTTGTGTCGGTTTATTTCATTGGTCAGACTTCACATTAAAAACACCAAATCAAAGTCATGTCACAGTAGGTTTTTAACAGAGTCTCTCATTGGTAGAACAATCCATGTTTAAAGCTAAGACTGTTTGATATGGATGTTGATATGATGATTGAAAATATACGAAGGTGAAGCTTCATCGGTTAGTTGTGATTGTTTAGGATCTTCACAATACACCTTAGTTTTGTGTATGGATTCCATCAGTGCAGCAGTTTGTCTTAGAGTCCTAGGATTCCTGTAACTCTGCCATATCAGATCTAGGGACATTCTCACAAGGGAGTAAATATCTTGTTCAGGTTTTACAAATATTATTTTCTCACAAAGAACTGCAAAATGGATGAGATATGAATGATACTCAATCATGGAAGAAAGGATAAATTTCAGAGAAACTATATGTCAAATAGATAATCATGACTAAATCAATTCTGTGTAATTCAACAATGTGTATGTTGGTGTATGTTAAATGACAGAACTTTAAATTGATGTGAATGTTTATGGGTCAAATGATCCTGTAAAATTGATGGTCCAGGTATCAGAACAATCAAATTAGGGGACCATATTGCTCAGAAATGTTGGGTTATTTGTTTTATCAGATGCAAATAACTCGGGGGGCCCCTGGCTATCTGAAGCGGTGAATGATATTTCATGTTTTGAAGTGTTTCTCATCCCCAGCAAGTCCCATATTACTATATGCTAAAAAATATAGGAAAACGTTTTATGTCTACCCATTTATCCTCTTATTCAAAATATTGTCCTCTCTGAACAATAAATAAATTAATGTTTTTCCTGTTTTGAAAAACAAACACAACAAATTTCTTGTTGTTGGATGAGAAGTTACTCTCCCTTGCAACGTTGTGTTTTGAACCCTCAGCCCCGAAACAGCACCTGGCTAAGCACAATAACAATGCCATGAATTTTTTATAAAAGCACATGCACTTTTGGAAAATGTCCACAAAGTTTTTTGTGTTCTTTTCCCTAACTTGCTTGCTCTGAAGCTAAGCTTGGAGATGAGAAACACACAAGATAATATATAGGTGGGTTAATATGTGAAGACGTACTACAGTGTGTAGATTAGACACTGAGGTTTGGCAGTTCAACAATTCCTTCTCAATGATAGATTTGACCAACAGAACTTAGAAAGGTTGTCTAAGTCTTTTTACAACACAATGTGAATGCCTTTTACAATATGAAGTGCATTTTGTATTATTGTCCCCACTACTACACATGGAGAATGTTTTAAAGATTGTGCTATTTTGTACAAATGTTGATCAGTCTTATGACAAGGCTAATTTTTTATACCCCTTTTACAGCATAGTGATACAATCCTTTTAGATAGGCTATTTATATGTCCCATGTATAGAACCCCTGTCGGCCGTGTTTTGTAGACGTCACAAGTGCAAGGCAGAGAGGGAGGTATATTATAGGCACACCACAAGCATATGGATGGTATTGCAGTGTTAAGCAATACTCACTCACTGGCTGTGTGATATCAGAATGAAAGTATTGTGAGTGTGTTGTTATACAAGACTGACAATATTTAGAACTTTAAGATCATATTGTAGAGCATCTTCTATTTCTGCAGGGCTAGCATTTTGGTAAACCTACACTTATCCCTGGACCCATCCTCGTGGTTCTTGCAATCTCAAATTACTTGCCCTTGATTTCCTTAAGCCGGTTTGATTGGCTATGCCACAAGGTCTAATGTCCCACTCAGAATGCAAGTTACAAACCAGGCTCAATGTTGGTTTTTCTGATATCAACAACATAGTGGCCATACCCACTAATTGCAGTGATGTTTGCAAAAAATTCAACATTTAAAAACTGACTTGCTGACGAAAGGATGTCTTCGTGTCAATCAAAACTAGTGGTGGCTTTGGTTTCTGGGCAGTAGGAGTTACCTCCCTTGCCCATTTTCTTTTTCCTTATCTTGACGTATAATTTGTCGGAAAATCAAGGGCAGGTAATTTACGATTGCGAGAACCACTTGGATGGGTCCAGGGGTTAGTGTAGGTTTACCGAAGTGCTAGCCTAGTGCTAGTGCTAGCCTAGATAAAGAGGATGATTGTAGAGAGCCTTCAGTTGTCCTTCAGGCTTATGTGCAAGCTCTGTTTATTTTGATTGAAAATGAATCATTTTCTGTAGACTGCTTGAATTTGAAGTTTTCCTTATGCCTATAATGTATTTTGTATTTCAGCCTGAATACTTTTGTCTCACTTTGTATACAGCAGCAGCTCACATTTGGTTTTGTTTATTATTTTGTTTCTATGAAAGGAACAAATATTCTAATATAGTTTAATGCTGAAAATGACATTGTGAAGCTTATTCATACTGAGTGTTCATATTGAAACATATGTTTCCTAACACAAAGCAAAGACTTAAAATAATGAAAACAGAATAAAAATTACCAGAGTAAGTATGTTTATACACTGAAAACTGAAGTGAATTTATGTCAATATGTATTCAGGATACTGAGAAGGTTATTGACCTATAATATAATTATAGTATTGAATCAGAATTGGATGAATACAATTTTTGTTAGATAGAATGATGAGCTATATACTTGTATTTTGGTAGAAACGTTGAGAAGACCAGGCTTTAGTGATTGCCTAGGTGAATGTCAAAGACCCTATTGTCACCAGGGTGGCTGTAGTTGCTGCTTGTGTCAGAATGTGCTACATTGTGTTCTGAATCTCATCTTGTACATAACCATGCTCAGATTGTGGCAGTCAGTCCTAAGTCCTAACTTAATGAAAACCTTTGGAGGATTTGCATAGTTTTATATAGTATGATATCTTTACTCTGATATGATTATTCCCTGGACCCATTCGCAACCATCTTCCTCCTCCTCCTCCTCCTCCTCTCTTCCCTCTCTCTCTCTCCTCCTCTCCCCTACCTCCCCCCCCCCCCCCTCCCCCCCCATTATAAATGACCAGTCCCTAACTAGGATGTAACCATGGTGGCATCCAGGGTATTCATCATTATGTAGGGTGAGTTTCATAGATTTAAATTGTTCGTCTGTTACTGTTACTCATTAACATTTTCATGAAGTTAAAAAAGAAACCAAAATCTTTTGGGAATAAATATTCCTTTCAATTTGTTAATAGAATTGTTTATGTTGCATACAAAACCATAAGTTAAAAACCATTTGGATGAACAAAGGGGCACCTTACAAATATGTTTCAGATATGAAATAACCTGAGTCCATGTGGTTTATGAAGTTGCTAAGTTTACTTTGCACTAGTTGATGGCAACTGTGACCAGGGTTTACTTTAGTGAATCAAGTTCCTCATAAAACATGATGTACTTCTCACTCGAAGGTAAGTTAGGGCCTGTCTCAGCCTTCTTCAATTATCAAGTGTATTATTTCTGATTATATTATGATATATACCCTGGACCCATTAACTAACATATCCAGGTAGTCCAGGATATTTATCATAATACAATGGTGATGTGATACCTTTGATAATTGAGGGTGTTTCTTACTGACTGATCATTATATGCAATGCCACACAAAGTTTTGTTTTGTTTTCAAGAGTGCCTATTTCTTTGAAGGGTCATGCCACTGTTATCCTTTTGTTATATGTTGTTCAATATGTTTTAACCCAGAAAACATTTTTTTGAGTCTTTCTTTTCAAAATGGAATTCTTTTTGTCAAAAGAATTTTGTCCTGCTCTGTAAGGTAGTGACTTTTGGTGGGAAACATTATGATTAGAGAAATGTGTTACGATAAAGAAGTAATTATGAATGTACCTCAGTGACACTGTATTATTTTAAGTTAATGTTCATCATAGATTTAAATTGGAGTTTTGAATGATCTTGAAATACACCAATCCTCACATTTCATGATCATTTTAAAGTTATGAGAGGTAAAATTGACCAAAACGTAAGACATTCATATTATACCAGGTTCATTTGTTTGCTGATTTTGTTTTTGATGTGGTGTGACCTCTCAGACTGGTGACAGTCATGGATATCTTTCATCACAGTCTCTGATTCAGTATCCCAATGGTATTTTCCCACTGAGTAAAATGTTATTTTCTCACTTTGATGACAAGGTTTTTTTTTATAGTCAACTTGCCATGAATATGGCTTCATATCTTGCATATGTTCACATACCAAAGTTTTATTTTCTGGAATGAAGTTTTAATATTTATTTTTATTTTGTCCAAACTGCATCTTTGTGTTTCTTGTAGCATCTTAGTGATAATGAAACTCATTATCTGTTTGAATACCATTATCTGAAACTTATTAACAGCTTATGATACAGCAGAACACAGCTTGAAAATTTAATGAACATTCCTTATTGGCAGTTAGTAACACATAGTCATGACAAAGTTGTTGTGCAGTTGAATTATTTTTGCAATAATGTGTATATTGTGATAGTGACGCATGCAACTTGCATTATGCTGATATTTTCTTTGTATATTGAGCATATTTTACAACACAGCACTCTTCTTGTCTATATGTGCGTATACTAGGTTTGAGATAGCCTGTCATTTTCTTTAGGGTTTGGATAAGAGTGTTTGCTTGATGTCTTATTAATGCCCAGAAATCAATCACATATTTGGTTGAAAACAAAACAGACAATCGTGTCTCTTAGCTCAACAGACTGTATGTCTGAAGTGATATTGAACATTTTTGTGAGATTGTGGTTTTACAGCTCTTCCTCAAGTGTGAAATTTCAATGTGGTGTATTGTAACTGATTGTTGAAGTCTTGGTATCAAGTTCCATCTAACCATTTACCAAACTGTAGGGACATATCAAGAGTCTTCTGCTTTCTCTCCCACTCCAGCTTCAGCTCTTCACCCCACTTTTTTCCATTATTCCTCCCTGCTCCACTCAAACCTCATGCACCCAGCTCTTCCTTTTTATTTCCTGCACAGGCAATGTCTGATGAACTCAAGATATAATAAGATGACCAGCAAAGATATACCATGCCTCTTGGATCCCTGTCCTTATAGGGTAGCCATCTGGTCAATGCTCTGCATGTCAAGACAAAAGCCTTTTGGGTGTCATTTGTGATAGCCACCATCTGTGTCCCTAGCCACTACGACATGCACATCACTCAATTGACTGACCTAGTATGTGTATGTACAACTCATGCCCTCATGGACCAAGCAACCCTGGCTTGGTATTCATGCATGTCCCCCTATTTGTATAGTATCACTTCTAGCTTCCATGATCTCCTGCAGTGCCCAGCATGCAACCGCCTTGTCATGATGACCTGCACGATTCCCTACCCACCAAATATACAAGTCTCCATTACCTCTGTTCCGTGTCTATTTGTCCTTTATCTGAGCCCAATGGTGGTGATATCATTATGATCATTTCAATAAAAGGTTTTGGAATTCTGGGCTTGAAAACTTGAAAATGTACGAAAATGTAATTAATATCATTGTGGTTATAATCAACTGCTAGCAGTATCCCAAAGTGCAAAATTTTTCCCTAATATTATCACCTGTCTCTCACACAATCAAACCTCTGTTTCTATGTCAGCATTGATTTACCTTTATGTTCCTTAAAACAACATTTTATTTGAATTATCAGTAGATTCACTACCAAATCTTTAACCATCTTTACAAATTAACATGATATGATCATCAGTGATGAGTGAAATTGGTTGTTGATTCAGTCCAAATGTTTGTGGATTGATGATTTGCGGTATCAGTATGTTAAACCAAGGATAAAGTTGCTATGGTATACAGACTGAAATGTGTGAAGTAGGCTGAGTGTTCTGTTGCCATGTGTATCCGCTGTGTGAGAGTCCCCTATATAGCGTGCTAGTGTAGTAACTTATAGATGCATTCCAGTGCCAATTCCTACATCAGCATGATACTGCAGGTTGTCTTGTCTTTCTCAAACTGGTTTGTGTCACAGCAATAGTAATGCTTAAAAGAAATGTACAAGTTCCTTAGTGTTTTGTTATACTTGACTGTGGGGTCTCGAGTTCTCTTTCTACATCCAAGGAATAAGGAATGTAAGAAAGAGGATGCTAATGTTGTTAGACCTCCACAAAATGTGTGAACAGTTATTAAGAATGAAATGAAACAGATTTACTCTACATTTTCAAAAATTACAGAAATAGAGTTTCCTTGAAATAGTCTTACATTCTCGTAAAAGCTTCTTTCCTTACAGAATAAGATATGTCACTGAAATAGCTCCATTAATCAGCAAAGAAAAGGGCTTTCCTCCCACATTAAGCTGACGTGCCTTGAAATAACTGGAATACTGTTAAAGGCAGCATTAAACCCAACTCACTCAGCAAATAGAAAGGTATATTTGTCAGGTTTTACTTTTCTAGTGACAAAAAGACAAATACTGATTTTTAATGTGAAATATCTAAGTTTGAAAAGCAAGATAAGCTTGTTAATGCTGATGTCTGGTGTTATAGGGAAACAAAGCATGCACATATGTATATATCTGTGCTTGGCATTTATGTTCTTTGAATGTGATTCTGTTTGTTCTCTAGTCTTGAAAATATACACTTCTTGCAATCTGCTAAGATCACTCTGCACTGATCAATGATGAATCACTAAAAAACAGAGCGAAATAATTATGACCAGATTGAGAGTTTACAGTGAAAACATTTTAGGCGTCATGGGGACCAATGTTATGATGATCTTGTTAAGTCAAGGAAGATCGAATCAAAAATATATCAATTGTTTTGTTCCAGCAGTGCCCATGTATTGCTTTAAGTGTATATTTTTGGTGTATTTTATTTGAAATCTTTTGTTGTTGTATTATGTGTATTTAACCATGCACGCAAACTGGTTTTGCTGCTAGCTTCTTTTTAGCTGTGATGAGCCTGCTCACATTGTTGACAATGTTTTATTGGTAGCGACTTAGAACTATGCATAGCTCCAGTCTGGGACTGGGAGTAGCTGCTACATCCCTCAAACTAAGTCAGCCAAATGTCTTGTTCTCTCTAATAGGTAAATTTTGTGAACTTAAATTTCTAAATTGGTGGTGCATAAATTAAAAACGATTCGCTTAACTCAACATTAAGAGTATCATCTGTGTACACATCTTA